TGAGATATATCAGGGACACACCGTGAAGGTGTCACTTATACCCAACCCATGTTTATCCAGTATCCACATTTAAATAGTCACAAAATTCCAGCTTTGCCTGTACCTTTAATGGATGACAACAACGTGGCTTAACAAAGCCAGCTTCTGGGGTTTCACAGAACTCTTCATCAGGCAGCGAGGGCATAGTTAGCGGAGGAGGGAGGAAGCAAATCATCTGAAAAACTCAGAGCCCAGTTTAATGGACACTGTTCTTGACAGCAGGCCATGGGTGAGACAAGAGGGAGGCTGCGGTTTGGGTCGTGGCAGAGGTATCAGGGCACCCACCCTCTTTGCCTGATGAAGAGCTCTGTATGAACTCAAAAGCTCATGTTGTTTGCCACATTTTGGGCGATTCAGGAAAAGTGCAGCCCAAACCTTCAAACCCTTGCATCTTGGTAGAAGATGACTTCATGTCTCAAAAATCTCAGAAAAGGTGGTCAAAAGTTGAATTCAATTCGATGGTGTGTCATTATTGCAGGTAATGCAGCTTGCAGCATTGAAAGGCAACATTCAAGATAAGAACGGCAAGTATCCAGATATTTAAAAATCAACAAAAACAAAACAAAAACAAATGTAACTCTGAGAAATGGAAAACCCCAAACCAGAAAGCACAAGTAGTACTAAAAAAGCAGTAAGGCATAACTACGACTCACCTGAAAACCACACCCACAGGGAGCTATAATCTTATTAATCTTATAACTGCATAGCTGGGAGGGACCCTATAAGATCATCCAGTCCAGCCCCTGGTCAAGGAGGCCAAAATCACTAAGCTATCCAGAGTTGCCCAGACTTCTATGAGAAAAGGTCCTTTTTCAGACTACAACTCCCATAACCCACACTGTCTCGTGGATTCAGGGAGTTGTTGGACTACTGAAAAAAAAACAGTAGGGTCAACTTTCCAGGCCTGAAGACCAGCTTTCACCTCGTCTCCTGTCTACCCCACGAACTTCACAGAGGCAGAATTGGGTGCTGGCGGCAAGCACGCACCGATCCTGCGGGGCGGGGTGGGAAGAAATGCCAAATCCCAGCACCACAGGCATGTGGGGAAGAGCAAAAATCATGAACGAAAGGCTTCCCCCCCCGCCCGCCAAAATCTTCACTGTTAATTTAATTTAGCTCTACTATATTTTCCAGGTTGCCAAATAGTATTGTTCTCTGGGAGGCTTCCAAAATCCATTTATTCAATTACTTACGGAGAGCCCAGGATGGGGATAAAAAAAAAAAAAAACCCTATTCAACACAGAATGCAATCTTGGCCAAACAGTACATTAGAGATGACCCATAATTAAAAGAGAGAATTCCTTAACTGATGAAAGCCTTTAATAGCCCCAGCACGAGCCTTCTGCAAACCAGCTGTAGTCTGAAAATTTGCTTCCTTTGCTTTGCAGTTGGTTATTGGGACATATAGTATACGGGCTTCCTTTACAAGTCTAAATCAGCAGGCACAAAAGTGAAATTTCCAGGCTGTAAGGAAAAGGAAGCAGAGCAGAACGGGTTCAAAACCCTCTGCTGGCCACTTGCAGGAAGCTTTGGGCTAGGTCACTGGGTTGATGCTTTTTCATTTCTCAGGGTGGGATGGGGAGAGGGATGTGATGGAGAGAAAAGCAAGGCTGAAGGCTCCCTCTGGCCAGCATCTGTGACCTTGAGAGTACACTTCTAGAGATATCACAGACCATAAATAACAAAATGAAATTCTCTGGTTATATGAATGTCCAGCGATACAATTTAGGACGGCTCACAGTTCTGCTTATTGTGGCCCCTTTTTCTCACTCGCTGACCCCAAAAACGACTGACGAGGTTTTAAAACAAGGAAGGGGGAAAACGGGAAGCGGGAAGCTCTCTGGACCTCCTGAGAAGCCAATATCTGTCACTCCCATGAAAAATGTCTTTCTTACTATTAGCCCAGCTCTTGGTCCAAAGATTCCTTGAAGACAAAGAAAGGTCTTTGCCTGCTGGCGGAAAAATAGCAGCTAGCGGATCTACTGAGCGTCTTGTGGCAAGGAGTTCCACAGACTGGGAGGAAGCCACTGAAAATATGCTCTCTCATGTCTTCATGGGGTGTCATTGTGAGGGCAGCGGGAGTGAGAGAAAGACCCTCCCTGAAGCCCAACTCAAAATATGGGCAGAACATGGTCAGGAGGGCAATAATGATGAACCATTACATCCCTGTCCGGGTAGGTGGGGCTCGTCAGCCATGGAAGGCAGCTCATCTAGGAGAAGGAAAACTCCAATTTCAAACCCCCACTGCCTTGTGGCTACTATATCCACTCATGGAAAAGGCTTCAGGAGTTAACCTCGAGGCAAAATCCGCAGCTGGAGTCCCAAAGGCAGCATGTGTCGTTCTGCCAACTCCTGCGACGTTGCTGGAACCAGTTGTATTGGCTCTTGCCTTTCCATTGGACCATTTCAGCAATGTGGAGAGGGGGGATCTGCTGCTTGGGTAACAGCCTATCCTCCATATTACCTTACCCGGGCTTCATGCTCTGGAGAGGACACTCCTCGATTCAGAGCATGTTACCATAGTCTCTTGAGACTGAAGGATGCCTATGCATTACATCCCTGTGAGTCAACAACGTGTGTGGTTTTTCTTTTCTGCTCCCAGACTCAGAAAAAAAAACACGACAAAATCATTAACGAAATGAGCAAAGAACCCCGTGGAACCCGGCACGCTAAAACACAATGGTCATGGACAAGGGCTTCTGTCAGCTGTAAATTTGCTCAGCTGCTCAGGTGACTCTGTTTGCTAAACCAGATTCACCCGGCCAGCCTTTGGAAAATATTTGAGCTGCGCGCGCAAGGAGAATTTGCATCCTGCTCCGGGGTCACCTCCTAAAATATTTAACAAGCGACTGCCATAAAACCTAAAACATCCATAGTTCAGCTTCAAGCCGTACGGCTAGAAAGCATGCACAAGGCACCAGGAGTGGGTCTAACTCGGTACAGTATTTCTGGGCAAATACTGGAAGCTGTCAGAAATAATTCCGGGACTTTTATATAGCGTGTAAAAAACTGAATTCGGCTCGGTTGCCTTGCTGGTTTTTACCTTTTTACAGGGAGAAGGCGGTTGCAGAATACAAGAACCAAGGAATGTGGGGGCTTCATGGGGCTTCACGGGCCCCCAGTTCATCTGGAATATATATATATATATTCCCAGAGTTGTAAATTCACCCTCCTAGTACAGCTGTCAAATTTTTGCCAGCTGAAATTCATTCCGGCTGCCTGTGGGTTCCCTCTAGCGGTTCAGCAGCCCAAGGCTTCAAAACCATTGCCTGTTCAAGAGGGACAGGAAATAAATAGGATTTTCCCTGGGTCCTTCTCTCCCCACCCATGAGTGAAAGAACTTTCCCCGAAAGAAAAAGGCGTGTTCGTTCGTGAATCCCTTTTACGAAGTCATCGCTCTTCACGGGGAAGGAAACCTAGAGGAAGTGAAGGCATCCGGGGAGAGAGGAAATGGTGTACGCCTGCAAATATTCTCATGAGCATCAGAAGAGCGGGCGAAGGGTGATCCCGGACGGATCCCTCCCGGTCTTCGCATTGGCTTCTGTTTTTAACATGGCTCAAGAAACAGCCCTCTCGTGATTTCTGGGGAGTTGGACCATTGGCAAGCAAGCCTGTTTCAGAAGCTGAAAATTGTTTTTTTTTAAAGTTGCCCCTAAAGGATACAAGTGGGCATTTTTCCATATTAAATAGAAATAAATAAAAATATTTTGGGGAGTGTTGGGGAGCGCATCTGATCAGTCCCAGGGGGGTCCTCTGGAAATTATGTGGGTTTGCATTCACAGGAGGGGAGCCCATCAAGACGGGGAGAGCTTTCAAGGAAGACCAGCAGGAACACACACACACACAAACAGCGCAGAACCATGGCTGCAACAACAACAACAACAACAACAACAACAACACAACGAAGTGCCTGCATCAGATGGGAAATTGACCACATCATTACCTTAGTGGGAACTAAAAACCTAGATGGAAGATACCTATAGCATTTTGATTTATTTCATTATTTTTAAATTGCCCGTGTGCCTTCCTACCTTGCTGCCAATCTTTCCTGCATTGCATGTTTATTGTGCTAAGTTTTACGAGACAAGTTAGCTGCTCTGGAGCTTGTTTATTTACTTAATTTTGCATGTTTTGTTTTAAGTTTTGATGATCCTTTTAAAACTGGGTCCCCATTTGGATTTTATCTGATCTTAGTCTGTAAACTCCTTTCGGTCACAGAAAACAAAGCCCATAAATATAAACAAGCAAATGGTTAGCAACTCCACAGATGTGTGCATCGTTTCCCTCCGTCCGTCTTTTTTGTCTTGTCTCTTGCGACCATCCTTAAAATATTTAACATCCGTTAATACATTTGAAATACAGAGAGCGCATACAGGGAAACCGTTTCCTTTCACTTTGCATTAAAACAACCCTAAGATAAAAACAGGGAGAAAACAAACACAGGAGTCCGAAAAAGCTAGGAAACACCCACATCGACCATGACGATTTGAGGAACCACTCCCAGAAAGATGTACTGAATGCCGTCCAACGAAAGCCAACAAGAAACCCAAACAGCTGAGTCCAGGCTATGTATCACGGGCCACAAAAGTCAAACCACTTAGCCACGTGGGCTAAGAGGCAGCCAAGCCTCCCAAATCTAACACTGTCAAGAATCAGAACTTTTCAAGCTCATTTTTTGTTCAAAACGACAGCGCTCCAAGGCTGAGAATCATTTTACAGACGTATCTTTGCCTACTCATTGCGTAAAACCTTTCCAGATCATCTCTGCTCTCCTGTCTGCTTGCAAGAGGCTGGCGATTCTATCCTTTATGTGGGCCCCGGGTTCAAAGCCCAGCCTCTCCGTTGTAAAGGGCACCTGTCGTGCAATATCCAGAAGGAGAACAGAACAAAGCCCTGGGTGTCCATTTCTCGCCGTTCAAATCACCAGCTTCCAGGCTCAGGGGTGGGGGGGGTGGGCTTACCTGTGCTGGGACGCAGGCGGTTCTCGGCCAGCTCGGCAATGGCCCCGGTGGTGACCGTCTTCTTCAGCCGGGAGCCCCCCGAGGCCGTGGCGACCCCCGGCTTCGTCAGCATGTCTTCGCTGCTGGCCCTCTTCAGCTGCAACAGAGGAAACCCATACAGCATTGGCAAAACTGGTGGGGATCAGGGCAAAACAGAGCCAGGATCCTATCCACTTCCACCCACCCTTCCTGTGCTTTCTGATCTGGGGCGACGAGGGACTCAGCCCCACACCAGCCCCAAGTACCGTCTCCCAGTAACGAGCAGGGCCTTCTCGGTTTTTGCTGTTCAAACTCACTTGTTCAAGCAATTTTAGAAAATACAAAGCCCGGTAGGATTATATGGTTCTTAAGGCTTTTTTTATGATTTTGCATTAACGTCTTATGGCTAACCGAGATGGTACAGGAGTGTGTCTCGGGCATGTGTCTGGTCATATGACTGCGCGAGCGACCGGGCTGCCCCCAGGCACCACATAACTGAGCTGTAATTAGCCACTGCATGTGAACTTTAGACAAAAACCGCACAGGATATTGGCCTCAGGCTTGATTGTACCTGGAGAAGCCCACAGTCAAGATCTAAACCCATGGGCTGCTAATTAACCTTAACTACCACTGAGAAGACCATCACCCTGTGAAGCCTTTTGCACATCTATTACATCCCATGTCTCTCCCGCTACCCATACCACCCCATGTCTCTTGTAAACGTCTGCATAGGGAGGTTCTCCTCCGTCCCTCAGATGAAGGCAGACTGCTGCTGTTCATGGAAGCTCAGGACAAATAAGCCCTTTAAGTCTTTAAGGTGACACCCAACAGACTGATTTTTCTCCGACTTCAAAGGAGATAGCACCATTCTTCAGAAGCTGGCCTGCTCTGATCTGGAAAAATTTCAATCCCAACCTACAGTTCTACTTTGGAAGCAGTTTTATAGAAGGCCTTATTTTCAAAACTGGATTTAAAGACCCAACCAGATGAACGGTAGAAGGGGAAATTAAAAACACACGGCGGCGGCTTCTTTGTCCACCCGCTTCCTCTTTAATTCCTAGAGATTTCCAGGCCCCCTTTTTCCTTTAATCTCTCAGGCTGCTGACGTGCAAAAAAAAAAAAAAGGGAGAGAGAGATAGAGAGACGTGAACCCATCCAAGCTGTGGTGGTAGTTAAGACACTGGGAAGAAAGCTTTCCCCTCTGAAAAAACCTGGCCCAGTTTTGCAAAGTGGTGGCAACTCTTAAAAAAGGGGTGGGGCTGCCCCCAAATTGCTCACCTTTGGAAGCTATGCTGCTTGGAAGTTCTTGGGAGTTTTCTAGACCCCCCCAAAAATACACCCCTCCCCAAATGTTTCCCACCTCTGGGCAGAGGTGGACAAGATCACTTTCCTGATGTGGTCACATAACATGTCCCACCATCCCTCACTATCAGCTGTGATGGCCAGGGCTGATGGGATTTGCAGTCCAACCACCTCTAGAAGGTCCCATGTTGCCCATTCTAGCGTTATGTATGTGATAGACCCTGTGGTTCTCATTTTACTCATCCCATTTCAAGCTTGCACTTTTCTCAAACGAGTTCAGAGCCTTAAGGCTCACGCATTTCTTCACCTGGATTTGGGAAGAAAAAACCCCCAAGCGATCACCTACCTTGCTGAGCCGAGAGTCGAAGGCGAGGGAGGTGGAAGACTTAGAGGCCTTCATCCCCCCTGGCGTGGAGGGGGCCAGGGGTTTCCCTCGTTCCATCCCATGTCCCCCCAGCTTGGACACGGGGACCCATGGCCGCGCGGCCCCCTTCATTTTCCTTCTGGTTGCGAGGAGTCCAGGCTGTGATGGAAAAAAAGGGAGAAATATCAGAGGCATGAGAAAAGGCGGGCGGAAGCGCTCGTGGCTTTGGAAAGCATCCGGGACGTTTTCTCCACCAGCAACCCTGGGCCCTGCGAAAGGGAAAAACATCTGGTAGAAGCTTGCATGCCAGTTGTACGGCAAACATTATGATATTTCTCACACATGGAGGTCAAAAGCCCAAGGAGCCTGATGGAAAGGGGCCTTTGGATGGCCCCACCTCCTTTATTATTATTATTTTTCTTCTGTGCATACTTGCTTGGAAACGTTTCTTTTCTGGACTTCAGCTCCCCAAACGCACCAGCCAGCTCACTGGTGGATTTTGGGAACTGTCCATTTGAAGAATTCGCCTCGCTAAGCTCTGTGGGAGGAGATGGACCTCGGCTATCTTCCTTCTCCCACTTCAAGGCTCACAACAGCCCTGCAACGTAGGCCAGACAAGGAAGAGAGAAGGAGATGCATCGGGCCAAAGTCACCTTATAAGTGCCATATCTTTGTGAGGACTAAAACCTCCACCTCCCGACTTCAGAGCTCTAACCACATGCTACCTTTTCTGGCACACAAGCCAGCCTTATTTCATCCTGATTGTTTAAAATGACTTCTTCTACATGTTTTTCACAACTTGGTTTACAACCGGGCAACCCTACCATTAGAGGTGCACTTTTGTGGGAGTAACTCCCCCCTCCCAAAAATGTCACTCGATTGACTTCTTTGTTACATAGATGGCTTTTCTCTTCCTCCGTCCTCACGACACCCCTGTGAGGTAGATCAGGCAGAGAAAGAGGGAGAAGAGTGACCGTTCCACCCATCAAAATCAAGAAAAATTCAGAGTTTCCAGTGCAGACCTCACGGACCTACCTCTTTTTTCCAGAAGTCTCACGACTTCTTAAACGGCCCTTCTCGGTTTCCTGATGTGGCTTTTTGTACCGGATGCCAAGAACACCCAGCCTTTTGAACGCTCTGGAGTGGGCGGGAGAGAACGCGCATAAAGCGTTTTTTTTATTTTATAACTGAGCTTGTTCTTCTGCTAGGACTGGGAATGGGGAAAAGAGGCCCACGAGTGCGCAACCTTCGCTTGCTGGGGAAACAGCCAGATCATCATGGAATAATAAAGGGCATTCAGCTGGGGATGATTGAAGTCCTTAAGGCCACAGAGCCACAAAACCGTGGACACTCGGCTTCACTAAACCTGACCTTCCTCCCAGGGTCGCTGTGATGATACCATCGGGCGTGAACCACCCATGGGCTTAACCTGGTATTCACAGAAGGAAAAAAAGGTTATAAATAGAATGAATAAATAAGCATACGATCCACATTCACTGCTTTGGAGACACCAGCTGAGCATGGAACGTTTGGAGTTAACTTGTCATGAGGAATTACTTGAAATAAATCTCTATTCTCCCTTTCATTTTTTTTTTGGCATAACTCAGTGATATCACCCACGGTTAACATTAACGACGTATCATGCTGCTCCACAGATAGCAGAACGGTTTTAAGTCACTTTTACCATGACGGGGGTAACTTTACTACTAAGGTGGGTTTTGAACTACAAACTTAATAGCCAATACAATTCTGAGAGCCTTCTTTAAACCCAGTAATTATGTTAGTTACTTCTGAATTAACAAGAGAATAAAGTATTCCTTTTCATAAGATTCTTCGCAGACAGGAAAGAATTGTTTGGGTTTCAGAACCATAACCGGCTGCGTTTTAAATGTCATTTTCCAAGCGCTGTGTCCATTCACCTGCAGGGTCTTTCTGTCACCGTGAGCCACAACGGAAAGCCAGCTATTCCTAGACTGAGCGAAAACAAGGGGAGGAAGGTGGCAGGGTAAGGCACAAACGAAAAAAACAGAACAGGGTTGAAATAGCCATGACTTCCCTACTGGGCTCTGTAGGAAGAATTATAAAAAAAACGAGGCACATGGGGCTGATACGGAGAGCCGAAAGGCCTTCTGGCAGTCCGTTTGAAACCACAAAGATTTGTCGGCCTGACGCATCCTCGTGTTGTGTGACTCATATGGATTTCCTGCAACTCAGCACAGCGAGGGTTGGGGATGATACTTGCTTAAAACAGAAAACCTCAGCCCAAATAAAATTCATGGGGAGCATGGTCGCAACACCTTAAAGCAAAAAATAAAATTAAAAAAAATCCCTTTTTGCAGTGCCTTGCTTCTTCCCTACCCATTTGGAGGGCCCTCCTTCCCAACCAGGTTTTGCAAACAAGATATATCAGCTAGTCCGCAGTGAGAAACCAGAAAACATCACAAATGTCATGACCAGGATTGCAAACCCAGACATAAGAGCTAGGTGGTCACAAACCCGGAATTAATCTAGTGTAATCCATTTGAATCCCCACCTGCTCCAAGCCTGCAGAGGGGCATTCGCATAAGGGTCACCCAGTGCTTTAAAAAATTACTTTTATAGACTGTGTTTCGCCAAACTGTACTGGCCTGCAAGCCTATGCCCTGGTTAGTTATGTGTGCCTCCTAGTGACAGAAAGTGGTACTACCGGGAGCAAGCAGACAGGAACATTTAAAATAATAAAAATGAATAGATGCAATTGAAAGGAGAAATTAGCCACAGTTCATCTCTGTACTTGTATCAGTTTTAAGCCTCACCCTTTTATAATCTTGGAACTCTAGAAGAACAGACATTAACTTTTTTTTAAACTATTATCACGGAATTTTCACTCAGAATTCATATTCACTGCAGCCACAGAGCAGTTTTCTTCTATTTATCTTTCCTACCTAATTGCTGTTGACATCAAGTGAATTCAAGAAAGCCTAAAGGCAAACAGAGCACCCCCACCAAAAAAAAAAAGCCAGGCGTTGTGAGCAAAATTTAGCTAAGATCAAAACCGCTCAGTTTCACATGGCAGCTGCCCACAGACCACCATCTCCACCTGTCAATGCCCCCATTTTAAAATGCTAAGCAACCAAGACGCGATGAGCCACCCAGAAAATAATCAATAAGCCATCAGCGCAGGCAAGACTCTGCAGGAAATGAGTTTGCTTACCACCACATGTGGGGGGGGGGAGAGAGAGAGGCGGAGAGGGACAGACGTGGAGGAAAGCCCTGCTTTTGCGGGATTTCAAAATGCAAACCTGCAACCCTTACAGTGGTGCATCTGTACATTTGTGAGCAAGGAACCGCACTGGCATAATGGCCGGATGCCTAAGGGCGGTGGGCGACAACTGCAAAAACAGAACCGACCCCAAAAATTCAGAACCGTTTGGAAACCCAGGGACTGGGAAAAATTCCTCTCTTTTTTTGGACTACAAAACCCAGAATGTGCCAGCCAGCATGCCCACATGCACAGGCCTTGAGCTGCTGAACTACAACACCCATCATCCCCAACGCATCTGGAAGGCAGACCGGTGGTGGAAGGCCACCCTTGGGAGATTGGAAGTAACTCAGCAAAGATAACGTGTTATTTAGATGGTTAAGCCAGCGTTAATAGCGCATAACCGTCCAACCTGTCAGGGAACACCAAACAAAGCCGACAGTCCGGCTTCATCTGTTGTTTACTTGTGGTGGTTTTGTGCCGCCCAGTTGTGGTCGACCTTTGCTGACCCTACAAGTGACCTCCAGAAGGTTTTGTCGTTTAAAAGTCCAGCTCAGTTCATGTCTAAGTAAAGCAGTGGCTTCTTTTATGGAGTCCATCTATCTCATTGTTTGATTTTCCTCTCTTCCTACTGCCTGCCATTTTTATTCTGGGCACCTGTCTGTCTCAAGGGGACAGAAAAAGAGAGAAGAGTAGTCAACAGACAGTCATCCTGGGTCATTTGTCCCCAGTGGTCAGGTTAGGCGAGCTTGAGGGCAAATCCTGCCCTCAGCACCGGCGGGGGACTGCATCCGGTCTGGACAGAGTGAAAAACGGAAAGCAGAGAAGTCCAGATACCCGCTTCTAGTTTATTATTTTTCCCTACAGTTTTACAGCCACAAAGATTCCTGCCTGGCCTAACCTACCTCACAAGGCTGTTGTGAAAACCTGGAGCAGAGTCGTGCTGGCGTGAAGCCTTCTGGAGGATGATTTCAGCTGGAAAACAAGTCGGGGCAAGATCCTGTGATGACCCAAGAGGGCCTTTATCTTTTTGATCTCAGAGGGAGCGTCTGCTTTTAGCCATGCCTCTCATTGCATCTTGGAAAGGCCACGGTCAAGCAAGGGCTGAGGGATATAGAGAAATAAGGTCCTAGTCCTCATGATCAGATTTAAATAGGCTTACGGGATGTCAAAGGATTTATCTGCCTGGCCCAGGTTGATCACCTGTACAAGTCAACAAGTGATAACCACCATCTGCTGTCACCCAATCCCCCCCCGTTAAAAAAAACTGGAGACTGAACCTAGGATTTTTTGGAATGCCATAGAGACAGTCTAGCACGGAGATAAAGCCCCCGCTCCCCATTACTGCTTTTGTTGTTGTGATGTGCTGTCAAGTCGCCTCTGACTTGAATGAGTGATGTCCAAAATGTCCGGTCCTCAACTCTTCCAAACTCAAAAGCTGTGGCTTTCTTTATGGAATCAATCCACCTCACATTGGGTCTTCCTCACTTCCTGCTGCCTTCAACCTTTCCTGGTATTCCTGCCTTTACACCAGATCAAAGACTCTTATCTATCCAGGCTACATTTCTCCGACCTTTATGAATCTCTTTTTCCAGGCAACACCAGGGCAGGGGAAAAAAAAACCCTGAGATCTTGCCTGCGTGGGTGGGATCAGTCATCGCTAAACAAATCCCAAGGCTGAAACAAATAAAATTCAAACCTCCCTTTTCAGGGGCTCTCCATCTCCAAATATTAGACATTAT